ATACATATCGCTTCCATTTAATCCCAGTTAGATCAGCCTAAGAGAAGGAAAAGAACAACTGGTCAGACAGTGGGGTAGGTACACCCCCAACAGAAACATCCTGCTATGACAAGATGATGATGATGGTGGTGGCACAGGAAGAGTCAGGTGGAAGGGAAAAGGAAGGATTAATACAGTAAAATTTTTAACAGAAACCATACTTGTTGTGTACCTTAGAAGATAAAACTCTAAATAATCAGGCTCCCTGTTTTAAAAGATCCTTCAATAACTGCAATAAAGCAAGAGCTGTTTAAAGCAAAGCAGCATTAAGATTATAGAGAGAAAAGTCTGACTTGATTTAAAATAAAAAAGTGAAAGATGAGTGAATAATGTATTTATTTGCAGACTGCAACTGTCCAATCTACTAAACACGTCTCTTAGCAAAGAGCGCCTTTCTTTTTGCTCACTTATGCATACACCAGCTTTTCAACCTAAGATTACTCTAGGGAAATAGATAATAAAGTAAATCTAACTCAAGCATACATTCTTCCAGTCATGTACTACTTTGGAAGATCGCACAAGTTTCTTCATTGTAAAAACTCGCTGTATCTCACACAGGTACACTTATTTTACCAAAAGCTATCACACTTTCATTCCTCACACCGCATTTTATGAATTTAAATCTTGGTTTTACCATTAAATTACATATCAGGCTTGTGTCCGCATTGATTATGATCCACTATATCCTCTTCTAGGCAAAAATTCTTTTGGCTTTATAAAGTAAGAGAGTTACTACTATATGTAACAGGAAATAGACAATTCCTGGTGTATCCACAATGCAATACCTCACGAAGTTTTACACTAAGCTTTTTCACATGAGGACAGTCACCTTGAGGCATGTAGGGGAGGGCACTGCCCCCCGGGCTCTTTATGTGAAGGGAGCAAATGCCAGCCTACCTTGTTCCAAGAAGTCACTATTTTTTTCTTCCCAATATGACAACACACAAAACCATTGCTGCAACATTTAAACCTAACATGGCAGCCTTCCTGTCTTCAGGAGAAGAAGCAATTTATACCAAAGGTAGTCTGTAACAGTTGATACTTTAAAAAGACTCCAAGACTTAAAAATGTACTAATATGGAGCCGCAGGCCTGGTGCAGGCTGCAGACATGTTCAGGCTGTCCAGGTTCCCCTCCACCCAAAAATATTAGTACCACAGCTTGGCTCAGGTTTTTACTTATAACAACCCCCAGAATAACAAATACCAGCCAGTCAGCTAAGATCAGCTAATTTGCATTAAAAAGCAGATGAAACAGCTCTGCACAGCCACCAGAAATTGCATCACAGCCCAGTTACATCAAATTTACTTTGGGGGCTACCAAAATCAACAATGTGAACGATTTCATACTTGGGTTAAAGAGAAAAAAAAGACTACAAAATGGTGCACAACAAAACATAAGACACCACTGCTTCACTGGGAGCATCACCAAAAGCAAAGCTCCAGAACAACAAGAAGCAGCAAAAGAGATCACTTTGAAAGCAAGGAAGAACGGAGGTTTCGGATCAATTTCTCCGGGATGTCACGAGTGGGGACATGAAAGAGAAAGTTCCCCGAGACGTGGGGCTGAAAGGAGAAGGCTCAGATCTCCTTACCTCCTGCGAGAAACAGCTGGTTCAGAAGCAGAGGTAGGAAGATGGGGAGAAAGGAGGAAAAGTTGCAGGCGAGGAAAGGGAAAAGGCGAGTTGCAGGGAGGATACTCTCCAGGAAGAAACCGGAGGGAGGGGCAAGGCGAGACAGACAGCGATGGAGGGGGAACCAGAGGGGCATGGGAGAGTTGGCTGGCTCCAGGCAGGGCCTACTCTGAGGACTCATCCAACAGAAGCTATGCTAAAAATGGCTGCTTTGCTTCCACTACCCCTTCTTCCCCTCCCCCAAACCTCCTCTCTCTCCCACCCCGTGTCTATCCGTACGTGTGTGTGTGCCGGTGGCCGCACTTACCAGGCAGAAGAGGTTGGAATGGCAATCCTCCAGGCTGGCCCCGTTCGGCACGAAGCAGGAACTCATCCTCACAGCCACAACCCACACGCCATTATCCCACAGCCTCCGACAAGAAAGAAAGAGACAGACAGAGAGAGGGAGACAGACACCGAGAGGGAAAGGGGGGAGGGGGGACTCTGCACACGCACAAATAATAATACAATTAAATAAGGGATTTACATAGGGACACACAGGCACGCGAAATAGTGGCAGGATAAATAACCCGGGAGGAGAGCGGTACCGGAGAGGGGGTAAAAAACAGATTTAAAAATAAGAATAATTAAAAAAAATTAGAGAGAAACTCGGAACGTTTTCTCTCCTTATGGATAGCAAACGCGGGGTGGGGGGTAAAACCACCGTGGAAGGGGAGAACAGAAAGAGGGAGGTGGTAAGTAATCCAACGACGGGAGATTAAGATCAAAATCCTCCCTGTTCCTCTTGTCTTCTCATTCGCATAAGGAGGAGAGGGAGAGGAGGTAAGGTGAAGGGGTAATTGATCCAACAGGAGAATAAAACCAGGGTAATTAATCCAGGGGGGCTAGGGGTAAAAATCAGTTGACATCCCTCCTTCCTCTCTTCTCAGATGCCAAGCAAGAGTAGCAGGGAACAAAATAAATAATCCAGTGGGGGTAATTAATCCAGAAACCTCCCTCCTCTTCCTCCTGTTTCTTTAGTCATCAGACGAGAAAAGGGGCAAATTGTGGAATGACTGGGAAGGATTGGCTGTGGGAGAGAGAGAAAAATCCAGGCTCGTCTCTTCGGAGTCCGAGGGCAACAGGGTGTGTGTGGGGGGGTCAGATTCTTCTCCCCTGCTCCAAAAATATTCCGAATAAATTAAAATTTAATCTCATAAACCCAAACTTCAGATGCCAGAGGGCGAGTCTGGAGAATTCATAAAAGCAGGACACGAAAAATGTCCTGGGGTATACCCCAAAAACACATCTGCGGGGGTAGGCGAAGGGGGGAAGGTGTTCCTTGAGAGAGAAAGGCCGCAAAAGTCTCCTTAGCAGCCCAGCGGGGGATTAAATTCCCCCGTGGAAACCCCCCCCTCCCCAAAACGAAATAGTCCTGGCAGAGAGGGCGAAACCAAAATATCCTCTGCTGGGTAAAAAAATCTTTCCGTGGGGAATGGAAGAAGGGGGAGAGGGGTGGAAGGAGGAAATTGCGGGTGACCCTCGAAGTCTCTTCGGGGAAGGATGGAGGAGTCTCCCGGAGGCCGATCCCCAGTCTCTTCGGAAGAGAAGGCAGGGGTAAAGCGCAGAGTGTCTTCAGGGAAGCTCGCCCCCCCCACCCCCCAGCTGTCCTTCGGGGCCGAGGGAGCCCCACGGAGTCCACCGGGCTGGGTGGGTCTCTTCAGGGGAGCCCGGACCCAGCCAAGTTCTCGCCGAGCGCCGGAGGAAGGGGGGTTCCGGGGCAGGGAGGGCCCCCTCCACCGCGCCTAAACCCCGCAAGACCCCTGCGAGCGGGTGGGGGGAGGCGAGGCGGGGAGGGACCGGCCTCGCAGCTGGGCTGGTCCCTTACAAAAAATGAATGTTTTCCCTTTAAAAAACAAAACCGGCAAAGAAAGGGGGGAGGGGGGGATAAAAATACAAAACGATAGTCTTCAAGCGGAGCGATGTCTTCCGCGGGGAGGGGGAGGAGAGGAGCGAGCCCCGAGACCCTCCCGTCGGGGCGGCGGCCCCGTCTCTCCTCAGGTGAGGGGGCTCCGGGAGCCCGTCGAGCCGGCGGCTGCTGCGGGAAGGCTCCGCGCCGCCCCGCTGCGGCGGCCCCGCGGGGGCAGTGGGCGGAGGGCCCCCTCCCCGAGGTCTTCTCGTGAGGGCGGGGAGGCGGCGGCGGCCGAGCCCGGGGCTCTCCTCAGCCGGAAGGGCCGCGGGGGAAGGGGTCAGAACGCCACAATTCCCGGCCCCGCCGTGTGCCGAGACACAGGGACGCGGCGGCCGTTGCTGCTGCTGCTGCTGCTGGCGGCGGAGTCGGTGCCCCGAAGCCCCCGCCGGCGGGTCTCCTCCTCCTCCTCCTCGCTTCCCCTCAGCGGTGCCTCTGTCGGCGGCTGCCCGGCCGCGGCATCCCGGCTCCCCCTCAGCGCGTCTCCCCCATGTCGCGTCGCGGGGAGGCGGGGGGGGGATTCTTCCGCCGTTTAATTCCGAGACCCTTTTTCTTTACGTTGCTCGTTGGGAGGCCGCCATCTAGCGGCCGTGTCGAGGTTTGTGCGCAGAGGCGCTGGGGACGCGGGTTCGAGTCCTGCCTCCCCGCCAGGCCCCGGGGCGGTGGGCCCTGTCGACCCCCGGATTGAGCATCGTCCCGGGGCATGTTTCCCATGCCTCCACGTCGGCCGGTCAGAATCGGGGCACAGCCTGCCCCATCTCCCCACCAGTAAAGCACTGACCCCGGCACCCCCAGTGCAAACTTCACCCTTTGGCAGAGTTTTCCCCAGATCCGTGGAGCAAAATTCCATCCTATAGCTCTCAGAGCCTTTTTAAATAAAAGATATACAAGCGTTTGGAAGGCTTGCACTAATATTTAATGTAAGCATTAATGCTTTCACTAGTCCCACTGACACTGTATGTGTTGGAGCAGAACTGTACGCCGAAATTCCATCTTTTTTTCATGCACAGATACATAGCGTACAGTTTATGAGGATGAAGTAGGTGGTTTCTCTGTTACTATGCAGAGATTTGCAGAAGGACTTTGAAATTATTCAGAATTAAGATGCTACAGTGACAGCGAAAGCTATTTTTAAGAGATATTTGGAAGTATTTGCATCTTGCTAATCTTCTCATTACATACTATTTTTCTATGTAGAATGTGAAATTTTAAGTTACTACATACAGAATTTTTTGACTGCAAAGTTAAAGTGAAAATACAAACCAGTGTAAAATGCCTAAAGTAAAGGTAGACATGAATGTCCCAGCTAACATGACATTCACATTAAAATATGATACATTCATGCAACAGCAGCACATTGCATCACAACTATGCAACATGATGATGTTTCAAAGGCCCTGCAACTTATTTCAGGACTCATGAACGAGACGAGTGGCAACCTTCTGCAGTAGAGTAGGAGGAAAGAAGGGCATTCTATAAATAAATTTATATGAGAAGTTAAAGAAAAAAAAGCAAGGCTAGATATTTTCACCAAGAGGAACTTTGAAGATTTACTCACACTAAGACTATTTTTGTGTGGCAGTGTAGGCAAGGAAGATTCTTCTTTTTATCCAAATAGAACCAGAGTATTTTTAACACAGGAGACTCATCCCCTCAGTGCTCATCGAAACACGGCAGCTGGGGCTGGAGCCGGGATGCGGGGGGGAGGGCGTGTGGAACCCAACCCCTTTCCAAGTGGAACAGATGGTTTTCTCTGTGGCGACTGCAGACGAGGACTGCGGTGCGAGGAGAATTCGCCCCATGCTGCCAGGGGTGTCGAGGGGCACACCAAGGCCCTCCCAAGTTTCAGCACACTGCTTTGGTCACTAGAGCGGTTACCTCGCTGCGCAGGGAGACGACATTAAGTCACACCACCTCCTGAAGGAGAAATCCAGTGCTTCAAAGGAAATAAAAGAAAGCAGCGCTTGGCATTAGTGCACAAGAGCTGGTATGGTTTTCCCTCTAGAGGAAAAATTATCCTTTGGTAAAACTGAGATTTGGGAGAGGGAGCAGAAATCCCATGCAACAAAACAGGGTGGGCTTGATGCACAGCAAATGTACCCTTGCATTTCCCCATTGATTTCAGGATGACACCAAATCTTCACTCACTGAGAATCCATTTCTTTGGCCTGAAACCGCACAGCTCGACTTCTGGAAGAAAGGATTAATCTAGTGTCTAACGCTGGGCTTGGCATCGATTCACTTCACAGCTTGGAGGAACCCGGCTTCTGTGTCTCAGTTTACTTATCTGTAAAATACAGTTTGAGATCCGCTTCATTAGTACTTACATATTAGTCATCATAAACACTTATATAGGATCCCAGCACAGACAAGTGCAGAACATGATTTTTCCTGTAAACATAAATAAGGGATAAAGAATAAAATATTGACAAAAGAGGAAAGAAAACCAACACATCAACTAGAGATTTTTAAGAGTCATTCCCTTTCATTTCATATACAATAGTATCTTGTATTGGACCCGATACATAACTTGTTGCCCTTTGCAAACTGTACATGCTACTTGGGAAATAAAGCCTCCTTAAAAAGTGGGGAGGAGGCAGATAAAAAAAGGTGGAAAAAAATGCTCTTGAAAATATGCTTTCTATTTTTTAGATAGGTTCTTATGTAGTTCTCATCTCTGCAAGTTCCAGAAGTGCATTAAGCTGCATAATTAGCATCTGTCACATGTAGCCTTTTCCTTCTCTCTTCCTTTCCCTAGAGGGAACCTCATGAAGAAATTTTAATATGAATTTCAGTATATACACTGCACAATGCATTCATATTAGGAAAGACACAGTCAGTGAGTTTGTGCTCAATCTCACGGTCATCCTTCTCTAATATAAACTTTACCAGTTTAAAAAAAGTGCTACTGATCCCATTTAAAAATTAACTGCTCTCTTGGAAGTACAGCAGTAGTGGGGGCAGGGGTGAGATGATCCCCGTTGCATCAAATTAAACAGACTCCTTAGGAACTGGGCCGTTAATGTTCTATCGTACTCTCTCCCATAGTTGCATTGAAACATCTAGCCAAAAGTAGTAAGGGATGTATGGATGATTTTCCCCTTTAGTCAAAAGTATTTATCTGGAAAGGAACAATTCTGTTTTGAAAAATATCAAAACAAGAGGTAGGACTTGATAACGCTTGTTCTTTCATGCTAAAAGATACTCCACTATTGCATCTCCCAGTAAACCTCTGTGGACAAACTTAAAAGAAGATGCTACCTTTTAGAAGTAAAGACTACAATGAAAGAAACGCAGCTGAAGAGCAATAGCAACATGAAAAACAGTGACATTATTTAGCCTTTGATTTCCATTCAGACTCTCCTCATTTTCCAAAGTCTTTATTTTCTACTTAATTAGTTCAAAGAAAATTGAGATTACAGGACTGAACATATTGCCAACAACCTGAGGTAGGAAGTGCGGACTGAATGCTTAAACTCCAGCTACAGAGGTGGTAATTATTGTAATTGGTCCATGTGAAGCAAATATATCAAGTAGTAGAGAGTTCAAACCTATGCCAGTCAGTCTCCAGTTGGCACCGACAGTTCTGTCAGGAGGATACAGAGGTCTCAGCAGGACTTACTATTGGCAACTGTTCAACAGTTCTCTTCTCCAAATGGTTTCAAGGGGATTTGGGTGGGAAGAAAGATAATTTTTAACAAATTACACTACCTAAAAATGGCTAGATGCCCAGAGCCACCTAGTCAGCATTGCTCACTGTTACCAGTTTCAAAAAGAAGATTTAGAATGTCATAGCTATAAAGAAATGTCTGACTTTAACAATACAATCAGATCACTGCAAAGTTAACCACACGTGTACTGTGCTCCATACTGCAAGTATGTATGGAAATATGTCCAGAATAGAAGGTACAGCAGTATATTTACGCAGTGTGTGTTTCTCAGAAAACAATGAGTTCAAGTCACTGGAATCCAAGCATTCCTATGAGGACATTCCATATAGTTTCAAGAAATTAGGAGACCACTTACTTTGTAATTAAAAATGACAACAGCAAAGCCCCCATGGGAGATGAGATTGGGGGACCACTTATTTCCCATTAGTATTTATCTTACAGCATTTGTAAGGTGTCTATAATTGCGGTGTAGTTTGGATTTGCACTGGGAGCTTCCGCAGGAGACTCTGCTCTGTGCCATACCGATCTTCAGCTGCTTTGTTTAGATTTTGCAAGAATGCTTTTTTCAGATGGTGAATATGTCATTTTTAGCAGAGGTCTCCAAGAGAAGATGTGAGTTTAATGCACGGCAATAAAAAGAGGAATATAAGAATTCTTGCTCTCTTTAGTGTCAGCTTTGATTAAGACGTATGAATGCACATGAATAGTCTTGTCAGAATCTTGGGGGCTACTGACATTCAAGATCTAACATATTAATACTTCTGACCAGAACATTAGCTGCTATGCAGTATGGAGAAGAGAGAGAGAAAAGATAGGACCACTCCCTGATCAGACAGAAATTGTTATGTATTTCCCTAGTTGGAAATCTCTGCACAGAACTTTGCTGCTGGGAAAACAGAATGCTTGTTTTCTCCAATCTGAGATTAATGACCATACATACTCTTTAAATCTGCAGCAGGAAAAAACAAAACAAATCATTGTTTAATACCTTTTACTCATGGACGGGATTCTCGTTAACCCATGTAAATAGAGACTGTAAAACCAAGTATTACATCCTCATAAAGGACGTATGCTTAGCATGACACAGGTTCTAGCATTTCTAGCTGCTGTCTCTATGTTTACCACTGAAAGTTTCTTTGAGTTACTAGTTTCAGATAAAAATAAGCTAGTTAAGGAATTCAGTTAAAATAAGGTAATTTAATTCAGATGTCAGTATCTATTAAATCTGGATACCCCTACAGTGGAAAGGTTCGTTCACCAAAAGCAAAAATCTTACAATGTGCTTCTGGCTGAGTTAAGAGAAAATATATTTCAGATTTTGTGTTGTTAACAATTTGTTGCCAAATAAATTGAAATTATTGAAAGGCATTGTAATTAGTTTAATCAGTATGTTTGTCTTCCAAAATCTGAGATTAATGCCTTTCTATTGTAGTGTAACAAAACAGAATATTCTGCACTTTGCAATTGAAACTACCTTTAGTCCACATTGAAGAGCTACAGCATGTCAGACAAAGAAACTGATTTGTTTGGTGCAAAAAATGATAGCAGACCTTTACATGTTTGAAGTGCAACAGATGGTCTTCCAAGGAGAGCATAATGACTGGCAGACAGTACGCTCCCTTAGAGTGGCTTGGAATGCCTTCAGCAATTACATAGAGAATGTTTGGGGGGGAAGCCCTGTCATGTCTCTGATTCTTCTCATGTAAATAGCTGTGGCTTCCTGTTTAGATGCTAAAAAATTGTATCTTTTAAAACCCAACAAGCTAGCAAGTGAACTGGAAAAGGAAGCACATTTAGCCCTCCCAAGACTATTCAAAATGAGGTTCCACACATTTTGTCGCCTCAGAAGAGAGATGTAAGTGGAAAAAAAACAAAACAAAACCAAAACCCAAACAAACAAATCCACAAAAAACCCACAAAAAACACAAAACCCCAAACAAACAAACAAAAGAAAAGCATGAAGAGGAAATTATCTTGGGCCTGTTGCCCAAGGAAGTTGTGAATGCTCCACCCCTGGCAGTGCTCATGGCCAGGGTGGACAGTGTTGGATGATGTGATTTGGTGTGATGTGTCCCTGCCCATGGCAGGCAGGGTTGGACTGGCTGATCTTAAGGTCTTTTCCAACCCTAACTATTCTATGATTCTATATAACTGTAAAACTATTAATCCACAGTCAAGTATTCCATGGAGATGTAATTTAGGAAAAAAAAAAGGAAGGTTTAAAACAAGGTTCTTCAAACTTCTAGAAGATGGGCGATCTGCAGCTACCACATGCAGAATATCTAGGAAAAAAACCCCAAAGACTAAATTACTAACAACCTCCTTTGGGAAACTGGTGACTCTGGAAGAGTCCTCTTCAACATGAAACACTGTGGCTACAGTTATTCAGGGAGGGGAAAAGTGAGCTTTTCTGAGGCTGTGACAGTCCTTCCATTTTCATTGCTAAGTTATTCCACAAGCCAGCAATTAACAGTTACAATAAACAGAAAGAGTAATAAAATGCTGATCTTTAATACTGTATATGTGGGCTAGAAAAATTAAACTTCTCTCTCTCCCTCCCTTCCCCCTAATCCTGGAATTAGTCTTTCCTGTTATAAAATCTTCCCCACCAAATTCACCCTGAGTAAAATTTTATGTGCAACATAAACACAAGTAAAACCATGTCCTTTAACACTGTAACTTAAATGTTGCTGGAATCATAACTGCATTACACCCTCTCCAATTAGCAGCAGCATTCTTTATGTTTGCTTATGAAGCGTAAACTGTTCGCTTGTCACTACAAAGACCTTCTGTAGAGGACTTAAAAAAACAGCCACAGCAATTAAAATGACAACAACAGAGGTGGATTGGTCACATTATGACAGAAAATATCCAGCTGTTTCTTTCCAGCAAAAGGATACACCAACTACACACAACAACCAAAAGGATATGAAATCCTATGACCAATTGTCAGTCTACCTAATGCTGGTGGATATTCTGGCAAAAGTATGGATTTCCAAGGCAGGAATAGACTAATACAGAACTAAATCTAACCTCACAGGCTGATTTTCTACACGCCCCCACCTCATCAGGATTATCACTCATCCTTTTTGCCCATACAAATTTCCCTTTTTGCTAGAACTATATATACTCTATTCTGTGAGAAATTCTCTAAAAATAAGACCAATCTGGGGCTTTGTCATCCAAAATAAGCAAGGCAAAAAGTAAACTGATAGGGTTAGTGCAAGTACATTAGATTTTAAACTTATTTACTACAGTTGTGTTAAAAACATTTGAAGAGTTAATTAAGACCATTAGCCTCATTACACCCAGGGTATTACTTATAAAATGCTAACCTCTGTTACAGTCACATCTGTCTCTGCTACTGGTTCCTGCCTGTTCTGCTTCACAACAGCAATAACATGGGGATTAAAAAAATATTTTAAACATACATTTAAATTATTAAAAAGGTCTAAAAGGGAAATGTGTCAGTGTTTCCTAGTTCAGATTATAGAGACTAAACATCTGAAGTGATAAGGTAGGTTTGATTTCTAATAGGGGAAGACAGACCACGAGAAAATAACTGACACATACAGAACAGCCATTCAGGGTTGGTAAAAAAACCAAACACTGGAGAACCCACCTACAGGTATGTCCTTGGAGAAAAAAACAATGAGAAAACTATCAGGAAGATTTTCATTGCTGTTTCTTTTCTGGAAGTTTTTGCCTCTCGTAACAGCGCAGACATGGCGAGGGATATGTATCAGAATTCATCCATGCATTGTATTTTGCACATCAAATTAAGTTGATTATCCATGACTTTTTAGGCAAACACAGGAATGCATAAAACATGTCAGCTGTTCTATATAGAATATATGAGCATTTCATTCCTTACTTCACGTTTAGAAAGAGCAGCAGACAACGAGCTCAACCGTTACATTGAGGATAAATTTCATGTGCAAGTTCAGAAGTATCCCTGGCTCCTTACCTGTTCTGTGGACCAGAACTTACAGGTAGCTCATAACATTTGTCTCCTGAGTTGCGTTTGTTTTCAGAGTAATCACCATAAGTGAGCAAAATCCTTAATGTTATCTTCTTTATAACTTCAGCCATAATGTTTCCCATAAAATGAGAACTTAGAGACTCAAAACAATTACTGCAAAATACAGGGGGTGGGGGGATGAGAAAAAGAAAAAGAAACCCAATACGTTTCACCTGATACAATTGCTTGACAACATATATCTCTGCAAGTACTCTGTATTGAACTTATTCACATCAGGAAAAAGAAACCCAACATTAGAATGGTGTCTCATTTTAAAATCTGCAAATTAAATACCAATGACAAACAATTTAGTGGGGCAGCATAGGGGGCCTTTCTGTTTGCAGAAGTCTTGTGGGACTCTGCAGTGAAATAGAAGAGTACAAACACAGAAGGCTTGAAAACCTTCACCAGAATGAATGCAAAACACAAGTAAAGCATTAAGTTGCACGTGCAGCGTAGGAGTGGAGTTCTAGCTGCAAGTTGAATCAAAACCCTTTGTATGAAGTGAATGATCCCTACTTAATATAAAATTACAAAATACCTACAGAATTCTATGATCTGACCAGTATAAAATGGTTCTATTTGTCCACATATCAAGAGTTTTAACACAGTCAAAAAAGGTCTTCTTTAAATAAAGAACTTTCTGGAAGGTTAATTGATTTTTGTTGAGTACTGGATATAGTCTGAGGATTAGCACATTTCACAAAGGTATAACTTTTCAATAAGGCTGCAGTGCTTGTAGAACTTGTAGATAGAAAACTAGGGACAAGGCAAAACACCTCTTGTGCCAGAAAGACCTAAAAGATTCAATGAAGAAACTGATGGAAAGTGCCCTTCCTCTAAATGCAAACACCTGCATAGCCACAGTAATTGCAGCAAAACAACCAAAAGGCCATACAAATGACAAGATGACATGGCAGACATATCATCTGCCATGCTGATATGGACAGTTTCCAGTATTGTTCAGTGCCATCCACAGTGATCTTGGCTTTCTGATCTAGCTCCCAAAAGAAGGAAAATATTAATTTTCAAATATATAAACAGCATGCATCTCAGTACAACCTGAGGTTGTCTCTTATCAACTATGTAATCTTCTATCTATATATATATAAAATCAACTATATAATATGTTCCACCAACACATGGATGCTGAAAACACAAGCCTCTGGATTACAGCATCTGGAAGTATAACAGAGAATGAAACTCCACTTCTGTCAGGTAGAGCAGGAGCCCATGGCAACAAGAATCACATGCTCAGATTATTGCTCAACACATGTACTTGAACTACAGAGATAAACTACTTAAAAATACATGGAAGTTATGTGCAAACCGTTTTGTCACTTGTGCCTCTTTCATTGTTGGGCAAGTGCATGCTAGCCAGGATTCTGAATACCTTGTTCTGTAAAGTCAGGAAAAAAAACGAGCCAAAGAAATCTTATCAATACACAATCACCCAGTGTATTAGGAGAAGATGGAAGACAACCTTGATAAAGCACAAGCACCCATAGGGCCAATACATATACAAATTAGAACATAGTAAGTACACTCACCACTGAAAAAATTGCAAGTAAATCTCTCTCCCGAGGAAGGCTTTAAGACTATTTTCCTTTTATTCAATTCTACGTCACCAGTGAAGGCCTATAAATGAATATTCTCTTGCAAATAAAGTGGTCATCTTCACTTTTGGCAACTACAGTAAGAACTGCCTTACAGAAAAGATCCTGCAAGTAGTTTTTATTCCTGTGAGTAAAGTCAAAGAGTGAGGAGAAAACATGATATAAAATTACTTGCACAATCATGCTTCATAACTGTTCCTAGCCTAGCAATATTGGTCCTTCCCCTTCCCAAGTGCAAAAACGCACAAACTTTTCTCTCTTTTTCTAAGAGGAAAAAAATAAGCCTGCTTATCCTTGGATAAGTATGGAGTTTGGAGGAGCTCAGAACAATGGAGTACTGTGTGCCCCACTCATCACATAGACACTGAAAAAAAAAGTATGGAAAAGAATGCACAAAGCATGTAATTACTGTTTCACAAGATAATTTCATTATTAATACATCCCCAAAGATAGCATGCACAGTGTTGCAATTTAATTAGATGATAACTGGAGGGGGTTTGAATTTATGAGGTAATAAATATATTTTGGACTAATAAACTCCAAGGCTGAAGTGTTTATTAATCTAGAATATAAAGATTATATAGTTGATAGGAGACAACCTCAGGTTGTGCTGAGATGCCTACTGTTCATATATTTGAAAATTAATATTTTCCTTCTTTTGGGAGCTAGATCAGAAAAGATCACTGTGGATGGCACTGAACAATACTAGAAACTGTCCAGCTATTATGTGTTCTCAAAGGCAAAGACTATTTAAGTCTCAGAAGATGTTGTGGTTTTGAACTTTCACCTCCTAAAGTATTAAGTACTGGAAGTATATCCTCTATACCATGCCTTCCGACAGCTGTCAGTGCCTTATTTCAGTGTAAGAAAGGAGATTCCTTTGAACAATAACCAGACCCTTTACAAGACTAACAGACTCCTCCCCTTCTCCTCCCAAATATTCAAATCTGTTTCTATTTTCCTGCTTTTGGACTCACCTGCAAGACTGCACCATGTAGTGAGCAAGCACATCAATTTTAGTGTCTCGATTTTCTTTTTTCCTTAACATTGTCCTATAAGCTTTTTGCCTAGCACAGCACATTAAATATTTGGAAACTAAATGTTCACTACTGTGAGGATTTATACCCCAAACAGCTGTGCCAAGAAGTCAGAGGAATCAAACAGCATAATCTATTAACTTGTCCTTGGGCAGTTACAAGAGCTTTATAAATTGCCATAGAGTTCAGTCCATTTAAACTACATACCCCTTCTATTTTGAAAGTGTCACAGGTGACAGAGAAAACCAAATTGAGTCCAGGATAAAGACTGCACAGCAGAAGTCAAAGACCAGGTTGTTTAAGCCAAAACTAAATTAAGGTTTGAGTGAACTACAGAGAAAGAAAAAGGAAGAAACACCAGGAGGAATAACATCTGACACCCTCTCCATGCAGATGAAACAAGACTAATAAATGCAAAGGCAACCCTACCCACACACAACTAAGTAACAGCTGCTGTGGCATCAATGGGCAAAATCAGAGAAATGCTGGATGTGCCAAAAGAACCATGGTACGTGGGGCAGAAGCACAGAGAGAAGGAAAGAGGCAAGACCAGCCAATCTATGTTGGGTGACAGCAGTAAGAAAGTTGTGTTACTGAGGGATGGAAAGATTTAAAGATATTTAAGAAAATGTTTATTACTTAACTTAGGTGATCCAAATATAAATGACCATGTGTTCAGACAGCTTCCAGTCCGGCTCCACAAGTTCAGAAAAAGCCTCAACACTAAGTCTTGAGAAGACTCTACAGATAATTAATGGAAAATGATGATGACAGCCATTTCCAAAGCTCCTGTTTTTTAATTCCCAGGCGTATATACTCTCTCCAAATGAAACAAGCAACAGAGCTAACTTTCCAATATTAAATCTCTAGGCAGTATATTATTCATACAGCTTATGTAGATGTCTTTACCCTCTGGAAAAACAAAGTTTAAGAAAAATGGTTCTATCTTTGGGGAACAGTTTAAGTCTCAGGATAACTACGTTAGGAAATTTAACTCTATTACTTTGTATCTTACATTTTATTACTAGATTGGTAATAGGAAATCACCAAATAAAATTGGTATTTTACTTGGTAATTTTTTTTCCGTGGGTCTCATCTAATATGAAAGATGGTGATCATCAAATTTATTCAAGTTTTCCTGTCAACAACATCATTAACCAAATCCCTCAATTTCAAAGTAAATAAAAGCATCTGGGCTTCTCGCACAGCAAGACTGACTTGCATATTTAAGCCTCATATATAGATGAATTTGCACTGGACCAAATTTGCATATTAATGAAGGACTAATTGCTCTTTGCAGTCAATTTTATGCAGATGAATTTACTCCTCTCAGTACAATTTTCATAATGTTCAGAAAGAACCAAAAAATGTAAAACTTTTTAGAAGTACACAAATGTTAGACAATCAAGGAAGAAATATCATAATGACATCAAACAGCTTTACATTAAATTGTATATAACTCATCTTTTATATTGTTGCTTTATTTTAACAGCCTCTCACAAAGAATGGAACAATTCATGGAATAACTTCAGCCTATTCCCCCTCCTTGGTCTCAAATTTTAACAGCTTGTAACAACCCATTATATTATCTTGTTCCCAGCTGGAAGGATGGAGCCTGAATTTTTAGGAGAAGTTAGATTTGCTAAACAGGACTTTATTTTCTCTGTCATCCTCACGCCACAGGTCAGTTAGGAAATACTCCAACCCCCACAATTTTAAGGTACTTTCTACACAGTTTTGCAGTATCAAGAAAAAGTTCAAGGCCCAAGTCCCTCTTTAGTCCTTCCTCCCGAGCTAAAGTACCAAATACCTAGAGAAAGACAGGAAAGTACATGGGAAAGAGAGACATCAACAAATGCTGAGGAAAAATGGGAACATTAGGGAGGAAAGGGGAAAATATAAATACTGGAGTAGAAGAGGAAAGGAAGTAGAAATGGAAGGAGAGCAAAATGATGATTCAATGTGTATATGCAGGTCTAGATAAAAAGAACAAAACTGAGGCATTTGGGAGAAAGTTCAAGGCAAAGGAAACAAATACAAGAGAAAAATGCAGCCAAAAATATACCCACAGAAAAAGAAAAATAAAGAGAATGGAAGCAAGAAATGAAATGAGAAGATAAAGAAACAGATAAAAAAGAAGATATTAAAAATACAGGTTTCCTTAATTCTGTTGGAGTGTAAGTGCAGAGTTAGTAGAAATGCATTAGGAATCCAAATTTGCATGTATAGCCTTCCCCTTGCCTACGAGAAAAGCCTTACTTCACCCATGAAGACTGCTAAACATAATATTTATATGTATCATAAAATCACTTACAGAAGATTATTTTAATCAGAAAATGAATAGCATAAAAGTTATAACTTTAAATGGCTTCAAGGCCTTTTGTAGAAGGAACACAGATATGGTTCACAATCACTACATCTGCTGTATCTTTGATTGCATTTGTTGCCCTTCTCTACAGCTTTTGTTGTTTTAACATATCCTTTTTAAGGCACACAGGACTCAAGATGCAGATATATGATGGTTTTATAGCAGTATCAGAAAGTTCCTCATGTTTTTTTCTCTATTTCTTTTCTAGTAATTCCTTGTATGCTACTTGCTCTCTGGACGATGGAACACTGAGCTCACAGATCACCCATAATCACACCATTTTGTTCCTGAGAAGCAGCAATTTATAACCATAATGACATTTCATGATCAAAATAAACCAGACTTCAGTATGAACACTTCTGAGTGAGCTATAGAGTCCTTCCCAAAGAAGGATCAGAAGAACTCCTAAGTCTCAAATGCAGGGTGGAGGGAAGACAGAAAAACTGCCAGAAGGTCACTCTGCAGTCTCTCCTTTTGGTCTTTCCAACCTTGATGACAGAAGCCACAACATACGGAGCATTTGAATAGATGCACTCCTCCAAGAGCAATAAAAGCAATGGTTGTACCAAGGCAAGATCAATGAGAAAATGAACATGAGCCAGTAGTGTGCACTTGCAGCCCAGAAAGCCAACCATATCCTGGGCTGCATCAAAAGGAGCGTGACCAGCAGGTCGAAGGAGGTGATCCTGCCCCTCTACTCTGCTTTTGTGAGACCTCACTTGGAGCATTGTGTGCAGTTCTGGTGTCCTTAACATAAAAAGGACATGGAACTGTTGGAACAAGTCCAGAGAAGGCCACGAGGATGATCAGGGACTGGAGCACCTCCCGTATGAAGACAGGCTGAGAAAGTTGGGGCTGTTCAGCCTGGAGAAAAGAAGGCTGCGTGGAAACCTCATAGCAGCCTTCCAGTATCTGAAGGGGGCCTATAGGGATGCTGGGGATGGGACTATTTCATTAGGGACTGTAGTGTCAGGACAAGGGGTAACGGGTTAAAACTTAAACAGGGGAAGTTTAGGTTGGATATAAGGAAGAAGTCCTTTACTGTAAGGGTGGTGAGGCACTGGAATAGATTGCCCAGGGAGGTTGTGAATGCTCCATCCCTGGTAGTGTTCAAGGCCAGGTTGGACGAAGCCTTGGGTGAGATGGTTTAGTGTGAGTGTGTCCCTGCCCATGGCAGAGGGGTTGGAACTAGATGATGTTAAGGTCTTTTCCAACCCTAACTATTCTACGATTCTATGATTCTAAGATCTAGCCATTGCAGGAAAGCAAACAAACAAACAAATAAAAGGCATTAGGGCAAGAAAAGCTGGCAGAAAATATCAGACTGAGGGAAGGACAGGGAAAATGACCAAGAAGCTTTCACTAGCATGCAAAAAAATGAACAGCCCACAGAAGAAAGACAAACAGTTATAAAATAATAACAATTGGAAAAGAATGAAAATTACCAGGAAAATACTGCAGTGCTACTGCTGAAGAATGCTCACAGAGGAACAAGACGGTTCAGCTGATGAGCCTGGAGGACTTGCTTTTAAAAGTTATTTGAAAACAAAATACAGTTCTTTGTGTACTTTGCAAATACAGCTTTTATTCTGCATTATGAATTCAAAATGTCTTCCTATTTTGCTCATAGAGAGGAATGAAGGGAAATGCATCCTCCTCTATAACTTACCTATACAGCATTTGAAAAACTGCTCTGGGCACACCCCCTTTTTTTCCAAAAGGTGCAAGTGATGAATGCTGTGTGAATGTAAACAGAGATCATGATTCAAACAAGAACAAGATGCTCCACCCAAAACAATTAGCTTTTCCAGTGGATGAGATGCCTATTCCTAATCATCAAGAAAGATTAAGCTGACCCCATTTAATTAGCTATTTAATACAATCCTAAAGATTGTACTGCATATATTATTGGTGAGGAAATGCCTACAGAAGCAACACTGCATCTGAACAAAATACCTCTATCAAGCACAAAGTCTGGGCTGTTATTACATGATTATACTGATATAAGTACTTTCCAAGTTTTTATATCCACTGTACATACTTTTGCAATTGTCTATGTGGAACTTCACCTGACTAACAATAATAAACATACATTAAACAATCAAAAAAGCAAAAATTCAAAGACAAAATAAACGCAATGATATTTCTGAACACTTCAGATCTGTAGACAAAGTCAGCTGGTTTGTACAGACTATTTGAGGATTACAGCCTTAAAGTGAAATAAGCTCCTGTTTCCTCACAATTAAAAGAACTAAACATTTTTTATCACTTTTTGGGAATCATGGCTGCTCACTTAACCCCTGCAAAGCAAAGTTCTGACTCTGAATTCAGAGAGAGCTCTTGCTGCTGGAGTGTATTTTAAAGAGCTACTTCTCTGCAGAACAGGTGTTTTCAAGTTTTGTGGCTACCATAAATATTAAGAATTGAGCAATACATTTTAGAAGGCAGTTTTCATTGACCTGCTAGCATTTGATTTATGATTGAGGACTGTGTCTTTTGAAAGAATTTATTATTTTCTTATATATGTATATATATGAGATATCAGACAGACATTTTCAGCACAGAGTTAATATTTTTCAGTGAAAAAAAAAAATACTAGTCTTACTCTGGAATATTTCCCTAATAATGAAATGAAAGCTTTCTATTGCAATAACAAAACAACTTGCAAGTATTTAAATACTAGATATTGGGAATAGTGCAAAATATATTACATTTCAAAGAATGTTAGGGAATTTTATTTGCCTTGTATCACTGGATGATATGTGTGGCACTTGCTGGTTGAGACAGGCTGTATCTCAAAGTGTTACCAAATAAAGAATTTTAAAGTGGAGGACTGGGCATCAGACCTATTTTCTTTCAGTAAAGTTTAAACATCCCTTAAAATAAACAGTTCAGTGCAAACCAACATATCTGATATTGATTTATTCTATTCATAAAAAGTAACAACATAATGGTAAATTTAATCTGTTCAATGAGAAGTTTATGAGCTTAAATATATCAAAAGGGCAATGAAAGCTAATATATAGTGCTTAAATAACAATCTGTGAGAAGACGACACACAGCCTTTACTTCCACTATACTGAAATCATATGCTGATGAAAAGCAGGCTTTTGAATTATTTTAAAGGAAGCTGCAGCCATTTGCTCTTTTTAACAGCTTGGAAGTTCACAAGGAAAGATTAATTTGCAATTTAACTGAAGTGTATCTCAAAGTTTTTGATTAAAGTCTGCATTTCTGAGCCTCCTGGCAGTGCCAATATCGCTGAAACAGGACATCAGCTGCAACGCCAGCAATTCTGGAATGCAATACCATAAACTGCAAATCGGTTTTGTCCTACTTTAATATCATTTTAACAACAAAAGAAGAACTTTGATGTTTAATATTTAAATAGTATAATTATTCCTTTAAAAACTAAGCCCAGGACCCTTCATGGGTACAGAGTGCAAAACAACAACAAAGAGAATGTGCTTTGGCTACACTAGGAGGCTTTAATTTGTAGGACCCAGTGAAAGGTACAGCACAATTTCTGTGTGCTGCAGGAGATTCCACAGAAACTCTTTAGAAAGGGAAATGCTCTCCCACAATGAAGATGATGCCAGTGGATTCATGCACAAAATTGAACAACAAAGCATAAAAACTGTCAAAGCAGAGAACTGTGAACAACATCCACTACAGCTGCTTAGAAATTACCACCAGCTGGCTGTCCTGGTGCCTTGGTTTGGAAACCCAGACACTAGGGTTATTTTCTTCATTGTTTTTGAAGTCAAGATTTGAGCAAGCAAAGCCTCCTTTTCCCTTCCCTCCTGCCTTTTGCCACTTCAGGATGGGTGAACACAATAAAAATAGATTTTGGGGAGGAATGTCTATAACTATGAGGTAAGTACTGTCACTGAATATTTAGTGAATTAATAATGTTCATATGCAATTTTTTTTCTGTTTTGGAAGAACATTAGAGAGAAGGTAAGTTCTGCACCTGTGCTACAATTATAACTGCAACTGTCAGTTTTTGCCAACCACACAGGACTCTAGAAATACAAAAACATTTCCAGTGCTTAAATACATACAAGGAACTACTGCAAATACAATAACAATTATCTGCTGTAACAGAGAAAACTATCGTACGTTCAAGGAAATGTGAGATAAAGATGTCATTCATTTTGACTTCAAATGCTGTTGGTCAGATCAAGCAATTACAGAATTACAGCCACTGAGGAAGGATGAGAGAGTGGCAGAGGAACATAGGCTGAACTACAACTTTGTGATGCAAGGAACATTCAAAGTAGCAAGAGCTTCTATGATGTAGAAGACAGGCATTATAACATGACTTCAAGTGGTAGGATCACAAAATCCACCTATGCCTAAAAATACTCTTAATCCAGTGTTGTACTGCATTATACAGTATTTGGCCACTATGTTTCATATACAACAAAATACAAGCTATGCACTGGAACTAAATCAGGGTTATTAATTAAGAAGTCATTTGTTTATAGCACTCTGCTTTAATTTGTTCCAGAAATTAAAAACAAAACAAAACCCAAACAACAACCAAAAAAAAAAAAAAAAAAAAACAAAACCACCAAACAACCAAAACTCTAATTAATAGAAAAGGAAAATGAAAGAAGAGACAGTTTCATGATTAAGGTGGATGGATGCTGTCTAGGGAACTGAATGCTACTGCTACATCTACCATGGAATTCCAGTGCAATGCAAGGAAGTTACAGAAAGTCATTCTCTCCAACATTCATTAAGAAATGCTCCTAAAAATGTAAAAAGTTATATATTGATAATTAGCATAGCAATTTTTCTTAAGATCAAAATTAATATTAACATCTGAGAACTGGAAGCCAGCACTCACCTTCAATAAAAATTACAACCCCAATTATTACACTGAGTTTATTTTGAGAATAAGGAATCTTTATATCCAAATGCAAATCAAGACATCTCTTTCAGCAGTGTAGTAAGAAACTAGTCCCTTAATGAAAACAAGATGGATTGTCTTTTATTTATCATTGCATTCTTACTCCACAGTTTTCAAGGGCCATGTAATAGCATTGTGAACTGAAACAAAAATTGAACTGCAAGTTTTATTTGCTCAACTATTATTTACTGTTTGTATTATTTCAAAAGAAAAATAACTAGATTTCTTTGTGTCTTGTATGCCTGTGTGAACACTTAGATACTTTATACATAATTAGTGTTCAGTGGCTTAAGTCCAGAAAGTGTATGCACACATGTCTAGACAGATAGGATCTACAGATTACTTGTATACAGAGAGGGAGTGCACATACAGAGGCATTTGCATGTAACAAAAGTAGAGTGCTATTTACTACCTAACACAGATGGACAAGTCCACTTTGGAGACCTCTGCAGACTTGTGAAATCAGGATGACGTGTTTGGAATTCTTCCTCTCCTCCACTGCTGAAGTAAATCAGGCAAATGCAAGTTGGCAGCTCCTTTAAAGATTCAAACAAACTCATTTTACATAATAACCTCCAGCTGCATTAAACACAAACACACAAAAAAACAAGCAGCACAAGTACCAAAGTCTAAATTTGTATCACTCACAAAATACAAAAATAATTTTGCAAATAAATCACAAGTAAACTAAAAGATTTTTTACACTAAGCTGGATTGTCCGTGAGACACATTAGTCTTTCAAGAGCGAAGTCTACACCCAGAGTGAAGTTCCAGCACCAAGGTGGTGTTCTTCCCAAGGCAAATGAGGAACGGCAAATAGTTCAAGACATCTATAACGTATTGGCTCCTATCAAAGTCAAGAAAAATACAGTCTCCTGAGGTGTTAGAACCTCTGCTCAGAAAAACTCTCTCTAATGCAAAATGCAACTCTCCTGCATTGAAAAAAACCTCTTCTTCCCTTGCTCCTAATGAACAGTTACCTCAACACTGAAGCACATGGCTTTTGCACTCCCTGTTTCTTAATTTATTTGTTGCTGGGCATAAGAACAGCTGAAATCATAACTCTGAAATACCAAATGAAACTAATCTATTTCCAATCTAAATTGTAATTAACTATTTTACTTTGGCATTGCATCTTAATCACTAGAGATTACTTGGAGGCATATGCAATAAAGGAGTTCTGCAGAACAACTGAATGCATGAGAATGAATATAAAAACTTTACCTTGAAACTTTCAGCTATTTTTCTCCAAACTGTTAAAAAAAAAATATGTATATGGTTGATCAAAATAACATTCAGACATAGGAACAGAAATATTAGGTGACAGAAGAGAACAGACCAGATCCCTATGAATCAACTCCATTTTACCAGGCCCATAAAATTAAACTAGCTTCAGCTTGATGCAACTGTTATACCTCCAAAATGAATGTTAGACATGAAATAGCAAAAAGGCTGGTGAGACAGATTTATCTTCTAGGGGTTTTTGTTATTATTCCCCTTCTACATTTACAAAATATCCCTTAATGTCTTTCCTTTCAGAAGGAAATCTAAGTCTCTCAAATAATATTTACAATCTCAGCTGCAATCTCCTCCATGGTGATTCACTCTGGGTGTTTGCTGCTTTTTGTGAGGAATAGTTCTGCTCGAGTTCTTCACTTAGAACAAAACAACTTTGTTTTCCTGATATATTTCATATTCAAATTATTCCAAAGTGTAGCACAGAGAAATGGATTAGATAATGGTATAGGCAAATGTGTAATTCATACATGGCTGCCATGATGAGCTCACCAGTAACTGATACAGCTTTGAACATTAAAATGACTTTAATGAGAGACAATACTGACCTAAATGTCACAGTCACTACCACTATTTCCTTTAAACAAAACAAAAATTGATTTAACTTCCACTTCAGCAGTCTCCACTGACAAATAGTTTAGTTTAATATCTACTTCCAATTTCCATTAAAATACCTTAGATTGATTTAGATATACGACAATTTCAAAAGCAATCTCCATCTTGGTTTCCTATAGCCCTATAATTTTTACACTCTCTTTGAATTAGATAGAAAGATAAGCTGGCATTCTTTTTAATTATAAGACAGATGCAATATACCATGGTTTTTCCTACTGCCTCTCTAATTAATAACACTGTTGCTGTGCAGCCTTTCATAAAGTTTCCAGATGAAAACAAATGTCTAGTTCAGTGGGTCTGCTGTTTCAGGTTATTGCTAACACAGAACCGGATATAACCCTTTTCTCTCTACACCAATGGCTCCATTGCAGTAAGAAGTGCAACCCAATGCACACAGGTGCTCAGGCTGCAGCAGCACAGCCTACAACCCCTGCCCTGTTCCCAAGACACTGCTGTCCACGCCAGGTGGATTAAAGCCAGGTCATCTTCCCTGAGCACATTGTAACCACGTCTGGCTGCTGCAGCAAACCTGCTTTTAGCTAACAAACTACAAGGTAACTTTCATGATTAAGATGAGCTATCAATAATCATCTGTTTTTAAGAACAGCATCCCATAAATCCTCCTAATTAGTAAACTAGGTGTCTTCTTTTTAGCAAACAATCCCCAGCCTACTTCCTTATTTATTTTCTTGAATTCAATTAGATTTGCCACCTGCCTGCCCAATCACCTAAATGACAGATTCTGGATGTAAGGTAGAAGCTGGGCCATAAACAGTAATTTCATTATAGTTCAATTTAAAATATTTGCCTGCACCTATTTTGTCTGCTTTATGAAGAATGTTTATGCTGTTTCCTCCTCCAGGGCTCTGCACCCTGTCAGGAGACGCAGCAGCAGCAAGAGTTTTGCACTGCTCCCTATCCTCCACTGCTGACTCTGTAAGAAACCAAAGCTGAGATTTTTCTGGAGGGGAGGGACCTCCAGAGACTGAATAAAGAGGGGACAAGTGATTTCCAAATCTGGACAGAAAAACTGATAAAGGTGCAATAAAATTAGTTGGTTGCTATAAATGACTCCTGGTAAAATAAAGGTTAGCAAGTATTTCTTTAGAAGATGAAAATAGAACTTCTTTTGACATGGAAAGAACTGGAGGAGGCTAAAGTCGTGGCACTGAAGCCATTCATTGCGTTTAGGGATTAAAAGACACACAGGCAGATTGCTATCAAACTGGAAGCACACAGTCCTATCATACAGATGCAAAGACCTAAACTGGAATCTGGCTTGGTCCACTTCGTTCTTGACTGGAAACTCAACATCATCCAAACTGTCAGGGCTCTACATTCAGGTCTTCAAAGAAACCACATTTCCTTCCATCTTTTGAAGCATAACTTACAAACCTACCTTCAATTATGCACCGATTCATTCTGAAACCCATGGAAAAGCTGCCCTTCTGAAACTGAATGAACAGATCTCAGTGTTGTGATGAGAGAGCAATGCCCTGGATTCCTGAGCATTTTCCCACTTTCCACTATTACAGGATACACAAGTCCATGCTGCTGCCTTTATAATTGTGGAAAAAAATACCATTGTATTTTCTTATAGCTAGTTAAGAATACATATAAGCACTAGTTATTTTTTAACAACTCATTTTGTTTCATGATTCTGCATCTTTCTCTCCAGATTTATTTTCTATTGAGTTTCACAGTTTGAAAATTAATGTTAAGGCAATATTGGGTAAAATTATTATTTTACGATGCTTCCTTTGCAATAACTAGTAATCCGGGTGAGTGTGTAAAACTTCATTACATATAAATGAAAACACTAACCAAATTGGAGGCACACAGTCAGTTAATGCCCTAATGGAGGAGCCTTGCAGAGAGAAACTGTACAGCATTTTTATGTAGCATGTGGGAAAACTGTGCAGCTTGGGAGTTTTGAACGTTAATACTGCAGCTGTACTAAATCTACTGTGTCAGACTCTGTCTGCAAGCAAACCAGATTTAAGGAAGTACAATTTTACTGCAGTGTTGGAGGGTGAAAAATGGTTAACTTGGTGAAGTTCAACAGAAGTAAGTTCAGCTTACTTAAAAAAAGAACAGACATAAATGATGTGCACCTGTTAAATAGTCACAGATGAATAGTTCTGTATCTAGATTATTACATGGCCTGTATAAAGGTTCAAATTATGGATTAAAAGAGTAATGCATTTTACAATTATATTTTAACACTGTGGCAGTTATGCACGCTAGAGCATAATTACTCTATCAGGATCTAAACAAATGTTAAACAATTCTGTTGACCATATTATCATTGCTTCATGTCTTCCGCTGAATGTACTACAAAACGTTAGCTGGATATCTGAGTGGGCAGACCCCGGGCAGGATTTGAAGATATTATTTTGTTGTAGTGTTTCATATTTTCTTGTATGTTAAAAGAAAACAATGTTCTGCTGCACACAGAAATCCAAATGTTGTTCAGTTGCCGTTATCACTGCGATTCATTTCAGAAATTTAAACAAACACACCAACCCCCTGCAACCCTTAAATTTGAACCGAACACAACATTGGCCCCACTGAAGATTGTGCAGAAGGCATTCTGCAGGCCCTTTCTGACAAGTGGCACAAAGAAATATCCTCTGATATTACAGAAGTTCTGTAAGGTAGGATGTACAACTTGGAAGTTTCGAAAAGTATGTATGCACACATCCACACACATGCAAAAGTTTTGGGCATCTATTACATTACAGATGGAATCCTATCAGTGCTATGACATATTGAATGTATAGGTTAATCTACCTATATCTCTCCTTATGCTGTTCTCCAGCTCTCTCCACTGTCACCGAGCTGAAAACAATCTTTTGTTGGTCTGTATATACTCAACCACATGTTCCTTCTTCACAGCCCCTGCTCATAGAGTTGACATCCCCATTTGGTTTTCTCTAAGAAGCTACTGTCAAATTATAAATGTAACGATTTCAAACAAAGAAACAAACACGTGCACCCCTGAGCAGTGCAGTATGATGAACTCAGTATCAAAAGCAGAAGTTACAGAGTGGTAGACCAAACTTTTCAAATTTGAATGCCTGAAGTCACACAGTCAGATCCTTATTTACACATAGAAGGAAGCCTGGTTTTCAGCAGGCATGTTCAGGCCTCCCAGTTATAAGGACTTTCTTCATCACTTGAAAAAGGCTTTTTATTTATGTATTTATCTATGTATTTCTTGCCTAATTTCAGACTATCAAGTTGTGTAATTTTCACTTAGAAATGTTGGCACTTCAGCTGCTACATCAATAAAAAGGACTTTGTAACTTGCTGGATCTTGAATGGCCCTCAGCAAACATTTTGATTGTATTTTTGATCTATGAGCAGTCAGAGGCCTGTCTGAAACTAGTGGACAAGACAGTCACCTTCTACTGAAAATAGGGAACACAATGCGAGACTTCAGCTCGTGCAGGCTCACATAATCATTATAATGTCTCTTGAAAGAAGCTACATATGAGTGCAAGATTAATTCCAATATTCCTTCACCAATGTTTTACTCTGTAAGTAGTTCTTAGTTAAGTAGTAAGTACTCTTCTAAGTAGTCTTCCATTAATTCTTTCTATTCATGAAGAAAACTACTAAGTGAGCTAGAAATCACCATTAAATTAAGATAATGATTATCATAAACAGATGTTTTATTTGACAGTTCAAGGGAAATGGGTGTGCTGTGATTTAGTTCAGAGACTTCAGTTCAACTGAAGACTCAGACTGTAAGAGTAAATGAATTAAACAGTCTCACCCTCACCCCCAATTGTATAAATCATAAAATTGCCCCTCTAAGGGTCAAGTATTGGAGATCTTTGTAAGAAGACACAAATTTTGTTCTGTGCCATAGCTGCAAACACATTGAATTTTCTCTACCTCCTCAGAACTGGTTTTAAGTATGCCACTGCAAGAAACGTGTGTATTACAGCAAGATAATAAATGTGTCTTGCTTAACAAACAACTGTGTTATCTCCTTTGACCAGACACCAAGTAGATGGCACTATCTCTTAACCATATGCTGCAGACAAAGCCTCTGGCAGGTTGCAAGTCAAACACCTCTTACTATCATCTATCAACTCATAACTAAACCCCTGAAAAGTAAGCATAGACACAAGTATGATATAAGTATGAAATGCATGGGGAAAAATTCTTCCACAGAAATGAAGTGTCAAATTTGGAAACATAGACTAGTCAGCTATAAGGATGTAAAGGTTCAGTTTCTGCCACTTCTGTAAGTTGGTGGACACAAAGATTTTATGGTGATCTCCTTGCAACAAACAGTAAGCTAGAAACTTGTACCAGTGATATAGAAAATATGACTAATTTCTTCAAAATACTGGAGAATATTTATGACAGGGAGCAAACAGTGTGTTCTTGCAACACCACCCAATGCTCACTTCTACTGCACCTCTAAACCGGTGAGTGGGGACTCCAGCTGACCATCTGAAGTCCAGGATTTCCAAAGCGAGGATCAGGCAGTGCTTACCCATTATCAGATGAGAATCTTTAAAAACACTTCTCAAGATAAAAATCTGAAGAGAATGGCATCATGCAAAAGCAAATTTACCACAAATTACATTTTTTCTTTTCCTCCCCCATTTCTTTTTCTTCTTTTAATGCATTTGACCATGAAGTACAAATCTGCAAATGTAAAGATTAAAAAAAAAAAACAAAACCCAAACAAAATAAAAAGACCACACACACCACAAAAAAAACAGAACCCACAGAAGGGTTCTGTGGTTCTTTCAGAGGAAGTTGGGATATGCAAGGAATTATGCACTAGATCTAGATGACAAGCATTTTCTTCAGATATATTGATTTATCCAGATCTAACCCCCATAGCATTTATATTTATATCACCCAAAAATTTACATGTTCGTTTCTGAGGTTCTCCTTCAGTCTAATTAATGTATCTTACGCAAGGAAAAGAAAAACAAAATACCAAATCATCGCTTAATGAAGTATGACACGTTTTCCTTTACCAGAGAACTTGACTGGCACAAAACAAGCACAAAAAGCCACTGATGTGGAATTCCTGGTTTACAGTTTTACACAATTATTTTTAAATTTGGTAATATATTTAGTAATTCTACCTTTTTTTCAGTATTTATTTATTATTATATATTATTATCCTTCCTGTACTTGTGAAATATTATAGGCATAATCTGGATAATCTTATTACATGATGCACGTGGTCTTACTTGTGGATAAGACTTGCTAATAAACTAACACACATCTGTTAATACAAAATTATTTTTGTTAGAAAAGCAGCAAAAAAGCCTTCCATAATGCTAGAAACAGAGAGTTTGATATATCTGCACCAAACTAAAACCAGAAGGTAAGCATTAACTTTATGAAGTGCAAACCAGGTCTTATTGACCAGTGAAGTAAACATTGACTGAAGTGAAGCAAATATTTACATGCTGACCTTAATGGGACAAATCCCATACAACACAACAAACAAGGTTTTGCTTGTTCTATTTCTGTGTTTGTATTTATTCTGAAGGTTCTGAAAGGAAATAACTGGAAATCTCTCTACAATGGTAATGCTTTTTAAATACAACTGGTTTTCCTTAGCACTTGAAATGGACATGCATTCAGAGGGCCAGAATATTTTGACCTTGTACAAGACAAAAGCTTAGCAAACTGTTTGCAGACAGAAAGTGTTAACTCGCTCACTAAATTCTGACCAGATAACAACATCCAAGACCTCTGTTTAACTGATCTCTAAGAAGGTAAACAGAAAGGCAGTCAACTTTCAGCCACTCAAACCAACATTTTTCTTATATAGTGGTAACTAATAAGATTCTTTCTCTCACCATTTATTCAGGTTATAGTCAGTCAAATAAAACATTTTATGGCAGACTGTCCTGGGTTCAGCAGTAGCAGTCATTTTTCTCCTTCTTGGTAACTGGTACAGTGCTGTGTTTTGACTTTTGGCCTGGGAACAGAGCTAATAACAATAATGTTTTGGTTTGGCCAAGGACTTTGTGAGCTTCATGGTCTGCCAGGGAGGAGGAGAAACCGGGAGGAAGCAGAGACAGGACACCTGACCCAAGCTAGCCAAAGAGGTATTCCATACCACAGCACGTCATGCCCAGGATGTAACTGGGAGTTAGCCGGAAGGGCTGGTAGACTGCGGGGACTTCTTACTAATTATGAAGACAGACTTTTTTCTTCTGTGAGTTGAACACTATTAAACACTAACCCAAATTAATAAATATAACTTTTAAACACTTCAATTTTATTAGTTATGGTAGAACATTACTTTGGTTTTTGAACTTAAAATATATTACTATGTACCACAGAAAATAAAGAATAATTAAGGATATAAACAAACAGGTACTACAGAGCAAGCATAAATTAACAAACTCATCCACCCCTTCCCAGTCAACCCACTTGGGCTAGGTTTTTATATACATGAGAAGTCATTATTCAATAGAAGGATTCACACAATTCACACATTGAGATTAACACATTAGATTGGAAAAAAACAATTTTGACAAACTTCAAAGATTCTATTAAAAACTCTGGCACCTTTAGGCACACCCATTAGAGAATACCAATGTCTTACACAGTGGATGATCATTAAAGTACATCTCTGACCTAAATACCCTTGTAATGGTCTTCCAACAGCAATTAACACACACCTAAAATTCTTTAACAGCTAAGTATTTTTTTGAGTAATTGCATTTAACAGAGCCTTCAATGTCACTACATGAATAGACCAGTTAAGAAAACAGCTTCTCCACTTCTTTCTAATGACCCTGGGAATTGCTCTTCCTTGCCCATAAAGACAGAGGCTGAGCACCCTCCTGTGAAGCAAGCAAAAATTACAACTGCCGTTTGTGGCTCTGGTATCTCATTTGCATTCAAGGCTCTATATATACACAAACCCCAAGACTCCAGGTTCTAATTCACCGGTTTTAAAACAATTATATGACCCCATTTCAGTGGACGGAACTACTCTCAGTTTAGAATGACTTAACAGAAATGAGCACACTGCTGTACACAGCAAGTAAGATTTCTGGAAACCTCAGGGAACAAGATGATGTCATTGCATTACAAAAATATCTGGTTCCAATTCTTTGCAAGTCTGCCCGACACAGCTTACATGTTCAGAGTTCAACAGCAGAATTCAGGGTCCTCTGCCATGGCTCCAGTGCTGAGTTTTCAAAACTGGTCTCTATTATTCAGTGCCTTAAGTATGGGAGGACAAGAGCTGTTTTCTTGTGCTCAGAAATCAAACTGAAGTAAAGGTGCAGTTGCAAATAATTGCAGGAGCTAGTTTTAAAAAGACTGAGCATCCTGACTGAGCTCAGGAAGCATTCCTATTTCAAAGGTCATTTGAGCCTCTTGGCAAGACTTTAAAATCCTCAGTTTAAACTAAACCCTCCTAATTTTGCAAAAGTCTTCCATACTCAAGTAACCTTTTCTGTGGAATGAAGACAACCATGAAAGCCTTTGAATATTCAGGACATTCTGCTATTTTACAGGCTCTGGAAACAAAACAATTTTTTATCATATCATTAGCTACAATTCCTTCCCATGTATCTGAGAGCAGTTCCTTTAAATTTCACCACAGATGTATACTGTGCATCTAATTTTAAAAGACTGGTTCCTTCCACACCTGATGAAAAATAATACAGTTTATTGGGAGGAACAAAAGATGAAGATTGTGCCTATCTATCTATCTATATATATAGGTACATATACACCTGAAAAGAGGGTTGGACATGAATTCAGCTCTGTATGAAATTTATGGGCATCCTTGGAGGAGACTACGAAATACAAAATAGTAAATTTATTACTAGGTATTACATGACCTAATGTGAGCAATACCCATGGGAAAAGATTTCCTATTCCATGTTAAGCATCTCTGAAATCTTTCTTGTGTCAGGAGCTGGTAAATCCAGAGGTCATTAATAACATAATGAAAACATACCTGTTAAATAACAACATCACTGAGGAGTTACATACCTTCTAATGAACTGTGAATTGGAGATAACTCAGCAAGTGACCTGCATGAGAAACATTATTGATTAATAAGTTGCCATGAATTAATTTCGTATTTCCAGTGCATGCAACAATGAGAAACAGCTTAAAAAAAACTTTGATTTAAAACTACATTTGTACTTTAATAAATTTTATAATTACAAAAGAGAAACAGCTGAACAAGGCTTTTATATTTATACACTTCCAAGTGATGCACAGAAGGCAAGCATAATTTCCAACTATAAACTTCTATTTAAAAATAAAAGATTTATCATTGCTTTTCCTGATTTGCAAATCAAATTAAGATTTTTCACATTGTCCAGTTTTGTGTTATCCTTGGAAGGATGAGGATAGAGCCATGTAATTCTTCAGAGTGCTTCCAGCCGAGCATCTGAAATCTGCATTGGTGCTGCTACTGAGTAGTATTGCAATAACTGAGCAGGAGTACTACACAAATTAGGACTTCTGAGTCCAGAGGGCCTACAGGAACAGGAGGCTTGTGGGTTTAACACTTAAGTGTATCTGCAGTGACTAGCCTAGGCTTCTTCCAGTACATCAACCACAGCCCAAGTGAAATGCAGAGGGTACAAGGCCTCAATTTCCAGTCAATAAGTTCTAGACACATATTCCCAAAACATCATAAAAGTAAAAAAAAAATTGTTGGGGACGCTTCCTTGAAACCTACCTCCAACAAACCCAGAGACGGGTCCAGTGTTTCCAGTTTCTCCCTCAAGTATAAAAGAGAAGGTTTAGTGTTAGCTGCTAGGTGTTACTAAACACCAGGCCATTTAGCTCTTCACCTCATGGGCTCTGGTGTCTGTGTGCCCATCCTTTCCCTCTCCCAGGGTTACTGACCCTGCAGAGTTCTGTGTTTAAAATTCTGAATTAACACAGTATTGCTGGTTTAACCTGAAACAACCCAGGACAGATCTTCAGAACTGCTCAGATATTAGGCACCAGTCTCTGCATGAGCCGCATACCTAAACACTTTTAGAACAATATCTGAGCCAAGGAAAGCAGATGCCCTTTCTGGATGCAAATTAATTTATTCAAGAGCATATTTTGAAAGAAAAAACTGTATCTATTTAATTGTAAGCTTCTCCTAAAAGCTACAGCATCATTAACTAGGGTAGCATTTTCCTCAGGTTTCCTTGCTGGCAAAGCCGATTTCCAGACAGCAGGACATCCCTGCAGTGAGCACTAATAGCCACCAAGAAGTAATAATAGTGCAGTACATACATATGTTTATATAACGCCTTAATTTCCTTCATTATTATTGCCTTCCCAGATTAATTTTAATTGAGGCTTCAAACCTCTGCCCCCTACTCGCCATTTGGCGGGCCCGGGCCGCTGCCTGTCCCCGCTCCTGAGGCGAGCTCCATCACAGCCTCCCGGTGCCCTGTCCCCTCATGAGGCGAAGGCCTCGAGAACCCGCGGTCGCCCGTTGCCAGAGCAACACCCAGCTCGATGCCTTCCTCCTCCTCCTCCCCGCGCGGCTCCTCCTCTTCCTCCCCCCTCCGCTCCCTGTCCCACCCACTCGGCCTCAGCAGCAGCGATGGAGGAGGCGGACGGCCGCGGCCTGGGCAGTGGCAGCGGGCGGAAGGCGCCGGCCGCCTGATGAGGTACCGCTGCCGGGCCCATGCAGGGGAGGGCGGGACAAGGGCTGCCGGCGGCCGCTCCCCCTCACAACCTGGGACGGGGCGAGGAAGCGGCGATGCCCCACCAGGGTCACCCCTTCCCTACGCCGGGGCTTCCGTGGAGGCCGGCGGGGACCCCCGGCGCTCCGTCGGCGGCGCGCGGCACCACAGGAGGGTGACGGCGGGATCCGGCCGCGGCGCGGCCCCGTGAGGGGAGCGGGCGAGGCCGCCGCGGCCCAGCGGGAACGAGTCCGTCCGGGTGCGATGGGAGACGGCGGCCCAGGGAGAAACGGGGAACGGTGGAGGGAAAGAGCCTTTTTATCAAGGACCTAATTTCCTCTAATTAGGGGAGGGGGAGGAACCCTGGGAGCTGGGTGCGGGTTTCTTTCGGTTTGAAATCCCGTTTATTAACTTAGTTACTTGAAAGTTTGTTAGGCAGGGTGCCAAGGGAAGCTGAGCCACTCGAACAATGGGATCGCTGCCTTAACAGCGACCTGTCAAGGTTTTGCAGAAGCAGACCCTAAAATGCTAACTGAAGGCTGCTAGTGAGGCATGTAATTCCCGTCCTTTTAAAGAGAGCGTTCGTGGTCTGGTCCTGCAGACACTCTTAGTGATGCTGCTCACGCAAGTCAGTACTGTCTCCAGCTTGTTGGCTTTATTCATGTGCATAAAATAACAGAACATGAGTTTTGGCTGGACTTAAGTGTGATGTAATCTTTGACCAACAGAAATAAAGTAGTAGCAGCTGCACTTCTCAGTGTTAGTAAAGTGTCCGTATTCATATATTATTTAAATTGATGCAATTTACTCTTCTAATAAAATCCCCCTTTAAAGGCTTAAGAATTCTGGGTTTAATATATTAACAACTTTTCACAGCACAAAGCCAATTTTGTTTTAACCTTTCTGTATCCCCAGTGGAACTAGCTGTGTATGTACACTGAGCTTTGGAAAAAAGTAATTTCAAAGAGGAATCCGAAAGAGTTTGAATCACAGAAAAAGGATTGTAAGAAAATTCCTAATGTTTCCTAATAATACTATTCTGTAGTTACAAGTATTGTGCTAAATCTCACTTCAGAGCATTCTGCAAAATCATTACTCTGATGTCAAACCAGTCCAGAGGTGTAGATCTAACACTATTTGACCAATGTTAAGACTGACACACAAGTGAAAAGCTGCCCAGGAGGACAACAGAAAGATGCCAAAGGAAAGATAAATAAGACCTCATCTGGGTGGTCTCGCTGTTAGCTTATGGCTTGTGGGCTGCAAGTCTTTTCACCTAGACCATATGGTCCAGGCTCTTTTAAATGCTTCTTACAAAATGGACTAACCTGGTTCTGCTCACTTACCCAGACAGGATAATCTCATTAATCTCATAATGGCCCTCAATTTTGAGCATGCACTGGCTTTTGACTAGGCTTGTCTGAACAAATGCTTACTATTTTATGGGCACATGTAAATGTACTCTTTGCTTCCTTCCCATCATTGTTTGCTGCTTCTTTGGCCTATTACTGTTACTATTTTTGTGAAATCATGCAGCACTTCTAAGATCTCTTTTGTACAAGCTAGTGCTGGTCTCCTGTTCAGCAGCTTTTGCTCTTCTGATTTGCATTGAAGCAACTTTAAATTCTACTAAGGCAGCCAGGCTAGAAAATCTGCACGTGAGAAAAAGGAAATAATTTTATATGGCACACAGAAAGTTGCCCCGTGCAGACAGGGTGCAAAGCCAGCACACCAGCTTTCAGGACAAAATGAATCTTTACTTCACTATTGTATTTGTGTTGGGGTTTCTGTTTTGTTGGGGTGTTTTTTGCTTTGTTTTGTTGTTTTTTTTTTTTCCCCTGAACTAATTCTCTCTTCCTTCAGCTGTGACTTTTAATATCCCACTTTAGGAGACAAAATAGCAGGAATCTGTACCAGAAAAAAAATCCCACCATGCAACCAAACTGCAGTCATCTCCACAACATCCAAGGGAGCGGCAATGACTCTTCATCTCCTCAGAGCACCCACGCAGTGAGGTTGTCGGGAGAGAGCTCGTGCCATCATAGTGGAGACATTCGCATACAGCTGAACTCTGCTGTGGGAGAAGCCAGAGAAAATGCGAATTCCCAGCATTCAAGGCCAGGTTCCCATAGTCGCTCCCATAGACATGGCCACGGCGAAGCAGGGGGACTCGATGATTCTGCTCCAGACACAGAGGAACACAGCAGCAGCTCCCTCTCGGAGCTCAGATACCTGCTCCAGTGGCTGCACAAAAGTCTGCCGTATATCTTGATTCTGTGTGTCAGATTGGTCATGCAGCATATAATTGGTAGAGTATAACAAAATAAGGTCTGAAGGAACAGACCCTCCTCCCCCCTCAAGAGATACACTAATAACCATGCCTAAAATATAATGCAATTTATTTTTAGCTTTATTTTTATTTGCTTTATCAGAAAGAGAGATTTACTAACTACATTTCAGTGGCTTCTGTTTCCTTTGCTGGCACATGTACAATGTGCATAATTATTCTGGCTTGACAGCCTGAGCTATTAATTGTAATTACAAAGATGTATTAGAAGTGGCTGGTTTTATAACCCAGTTCTGTATTTTTCTTCTTTCTTTTTTTTTTTTTTGTGTATAACTGACCCTTTTTTCCTAATAGGCATTTCTCTTGGAATTGGGCTTCTAACAACTTATGTGTATGCAAACAAAAGCATAGTAAATCAGGTTTTTCTAAGAGTAAGTATCACGCTATACAACAAAATTCTGTAACTTAACCAAGACCTTTATCCATCAATTTTTGAAAGAAATGTGAGTGGAGATACTGGTTAATTTACCGAAGACTATTAGGTGTCAGGGTTTCAAGATGGAAGTTAAGTTTCAATGCTTCTGTATAGGGTAGAACTGCTCAGATAAGTAAGGCTTGCAAAATTCAAAACAAGGGTTTTTTCTTTTCTCTGACTTTGAATATTGAAATCACTTCAACTGATAAAAGTTTTTTGGAATTCATGGAAGAACTTCTTAAATATATTTATGGAACTGAACAGCAGGTGGAAGTTAAAGCTTTCAGCTGTCTCTGTTCACTCCCAAAGAAAAATCTGCTGTTTCTTTAGAGTGGGGTGGGTTTTGGTCGTGTTTTTAGAAAAAAACTTGATACACATAGAAATCATTACATTGAAAACCGAAATAACTGTTTTACCTTTCCACTGAGTTCTGTTTTATTTGGCCTAAACCCAAAAAAAAAGAGAGAAAATCCTCTAGTAATAACTGTTCAGGTACAACAGACTTAGTGCTTTGGAGATACATTTAAGACACTGATACTGAGATAAGGACTGTAATACGTCTTTACAATTACCTTACAGGAACGGTGCTCCAAGTTGCAATGTGCTTGGTTACTAGTATACTTAACTGGATCATCCCTCCTCTTGTATTACACGTTTCATTCTCAGTCACTGTATTACAGGTAAGCAAATTAAATGTTAACTGGGAACATTTTATCTGGGATGCTGCTGTTTTTCTTTAAAATGAAGGAGAAACCAATGCCACAATTAATCTCCATTCCTCTTCTGCCCAGCTGAACACGTGCTGTCCTTAAAAGCAGTATGCTGGAATTTGCTAGACCCCATAAGCAATTTATGGCACAGGTGTACCATGAGGAATGTACCTGGGTTTATTCCCAGCTTTGACCCTGCGAGCTTGCCTTTGCAGTATTGAATATGGCATTCTAGGGATCTGTGGAGCTTATGCCTCCAATTTATTTTGTTCCCCTTACTATTCTGTGACTACAGTCTTGGCTGTAAATCAGCCAGAGGCTGTATTGCTACAGTGAGAAAGCAAGCCTGTCTCTAGAGGATGGGGGTAGTGAGGAAGGTTCAAAAATTGACAGCTTGTCAGATATCATGAATGGTAATTTACAATGAAGAGTTCATTTTGTTAGCAAGTGTTTTCCCTCTGTGTAAACCAGGTTTTCTTTTATAATTAAACCTGCTGGGATAATCTCTGGTTTTGCTTTCCTCTAAATAGGGTGTTCCAGTAACTTCTGATACTTCCCTTGTAGCTTAATCTTCTTAAACCCTACTGTGGATTTTATGAACTTCTGGGAGGTACTCTGGATTGTGGGAGTCACAGACTTCATTCTGAAATTCCTCTTCATGGGCTTGAAGTGCATTATTCTCTTGGTGCCTTCTTTCATGATGTCCTTTAAATCTAAGGTAAGGAAACAAGCTGTATTTTTGCTTCCTTATGAAGATTCTTTTAAGGTAAAATTAGCTAATTATTAAAAGCTACCTAGATAAAAGTCTTTTTAATTAAAGGTCTGTATATAATCCATCACCACACTGTGGGCAAGAAAACCCTGTGGATTTCAGGTTCTTCCCTGCTTGGTGCTAAGGAAGGTTTACAGTCTGATCTGAAACAACTGCTTGCATTATGTCATCGAATAAACGGGTTTATTTCTGTCTCTAAGTGGGGGGCAATGTGGAAACCTTTTATTTGCTGCAGTGTAAGAGTGCGTGGAGAGGCAGTTGCAGCTGAAGCACAGTAAATTTTTTATGTGCGTGACAGTAACTGACGTGGGAAGACGTTAAGATCTGTGCATGCAAACAGCTGGTTTTCTGTCTTCAAAAATAATGCTGTATTTTCTTCTGTTAATAAATGAAGCAATAGTTGTGTCAGATCAGTTAATTTGATTTGTAGCTTAATTCCTTGAACTAGTGAAGTTTAATCATTTTC